AGGGGAGAGGAGATAAGAATATGGGAGAAATGATTGTGCGAGGTCCGTGGCCCGTTTATTTGGGAACTGCTTTCAAGATCAAAATCATTTTATAAAAAAAATTCTATTCCTCTTCTCGTCCACAATGTTAATAAATGCTCAACATTTGCTGAACTTTGGTTAAAAAATTCATTGAAAACAATGTTTCTAATATAATCGAATACCTTTATTTTTAAACCAATCCATTTGCATACGGATAATATATTTTCAGTCAGTGGCTTTTTATATGCTGCTCATAAACGGAGATACTTAAAAATAACTACACCTGTCTATCTTTATCATGAAAGTAATGGCCTACTGTAGGAAACACCCTGCTGAACTAAACCACATAAAATGGTTTTCCAAAAAGTAGCACACACACTGTTCAAGAACAACAAATAAAATACACTCGTATAACACTACAATAAGTTGCTAAATTTATTTATGCAAGTTGACTGAAAACTATATACATGAGTAATATCGAAAATTGTGTAGCTCCTAATCTAGCGAATTTTAAAATATTTGGTTACGCAGTGGTTAGCGGTTATCAAAACTCATGTTTCAATTTGGTGCAGGAAAGTTGGACATTCTATATAAATTATGGCGTATTGAAAATGCAGACGTTTTGTCAACGAACCCCGATTACATTATCATTGCTTGAAAACCTAACGAACTTCGCAAACACTTAAAAATGATAATAGTGCGTCAGGGAGATTCACAAAACAACGATAAAAATACTTTTCAAAGTTAACACCACACAATAAATTTGCTGTAATATATATATATATATATATATATATATATATATATATATATATATATATATGTTCATGACAGGTACTAAAATAGAATAATGACAATAATAATAATAATAATAATAATAATAATAATAATAATAATAATAATAATAATAATAATACAAACATGTCTACTTTTAGATGTGCGTGCGTGTGATCAAAACGCAGATGCGCGATCAATACGCAGAAACCAAGTAGGCACGAAAACGTCTTAAATACAATAGTTTGAAAATCGAGATCATCTTTGGCGTAAGCACAAGTCGTCACGTTAATTATCGATCTTCTGTGATATGTTCCAAAAAAATATTATAAATAACTTGGTTAAACTGCCAGGTGGATCAACAGACTGGGACGTGCAAGACGCTCACATTTGCGCAAAGTATTGTGGAGTCACCGACACTTCCTAAATCTCCTCAACACTCCTTAGGAACTTAGTTCCAATTTGGAGTAGATTTTATATTCAATCTACTCATAATATCTTTAGTTGTGAATTTGCGGGATAATAGTAATAGTAATAATAATAATAATAATAATAATAATAATAATAATAATGTCAAATAACGCTATGCATTATCAATATGAGATTATATGTTATTACACCATCCAAGAGGACAATTTATAGTAATCGTTTCAATTTCCTTTTGACCTGAACGTCCTTCCGCCCCAATTGGCAAAGCTGTGCAAGTGTCCGTCGCTGGTCCGTGGCGAACGCTGGAAGTGGAGGCCGCGTCTCGGAGCGGCGCGCGAGCGCCCGGAGACGGCTCGGCGCGGCGCAGGTCTTTCATTAGCAGCGGAAGGCGACGCCGCCGCCGCCGCCGCCGCCGCCGCCGCCGCCGGCGACCGCCCCACCGCCGCCCGAGGCGCCGCGACGCTCTCAATCTCGGCGAAAAGGGTACTTCGTCGACCTTAATATTTGAACGGGGGCCGTTCAAGGCGATGGCGAGTGTCGGCCCGGGCATTCGACACGGGCTCACCTCCATTATGGATGGGCGCTCCCTGCAGGCGCTAGCCGTCCGCGACCTCGCCCCGCCCCCGCCGCCCCGCTCCGCCCCCCGCTCCGCCCCGCCGGCCGCTGTCTTCCCGAGTAATTAAAAGTGTCCGTGTCGGCGTCACTCCGGCGTCTTTACCGCCGCTGCCGCTCGCCCGCGAAAGAAGACCTCGTCGATGAGGTCCCCGAGAGCCGAAGCTGGGGAGTGCCGTAGCCCTTGAAACGTCGACCAACACGAGGTTTGTAACGGACTCTTCATCTATACTAATAAATAGGGGGCGGATTTTTATGGCCTAAATCATCGCCAAAAATGATCAATAAAATGCTCTTAAAATATTTTAAAACATCCTAAAAGCAAAGAAAAATGACCTACAAATTTGATCAAAACCATTTCAAATGAACAACTCAAGCTGTTGGATATGTTATTGATATAATCGGGGCTTCTTCCTCTCGTTCAGGTGAACTAAGCTTGAAAAAATTGGGAATGAGCTATACTTTAATAAGATTTTTCAATATTTTAGTTATCGCTAAATTGGTTGAACCGTCACTGACGCTGATACACGTCATAGCAACCTTACATTACGTACTAACAACGGCTGACAATTTCTGAGCGAAGAAAACGAGTAGGGTACTCAGGAATTGTGTGAACATTTGTTACCTTTCACATTATTTGAAGCAGGTACTATTAAATGATATTCAAATCGAAGAAATCATCGAAAAATGCTTTACAAATAATGCAAAAGGTAAAAAAGACTTATTAGACTCTTCTTAAGAAATGTCGCAGTGTTCTCGCAATATTTGGCAAAAATTAATACAACTCAAAGGCGGAAAATAAAAAATTTAAATAATACGTTGATAGATACGCTACAATCAGTATTTTTGTTTGTCGCTAAGAGCTGATTGGTTCCTAATATATTCCGCCACAGATAGTAGCGGTGCGGCAGAGCTAGTACCTTTCAGATTAGCTAGAAGACAATAGCAGTGTCTATGATATAAATTTGTGATTTAATAGCAATGTTCTGTAAAAAAAATGAAAGACAGTTATAATATAATATTTAAATATGACCCAATTACATTAGAAATAATAATATTACCACCGTGTTTTAAGTGCAATTGATATTCTTCTTTTTTCCAAAGGATTGGATATGAAGAAAACCTGGATAAGCCCGGGTATTTTGCTATTAAACTCATAAACCTATATTTGTGATAGAAATCATATCCACATTGCTTGTATTTGAAATCGTTTGTTAGAAAATACAATAAATGTATGACTAATAAATATTTTACTACATATTTAAAACATTAAGGGTTATGTTTTAAAAAAGTCATTTGAATATTCTACCTCATCAAATTTCGTTGTTTTTTTTTCTAGTGAAATGTAATGGGCCCTGGATGTGTTATCAACGCTTTTATAAATAGCTTTTATAGTAAAAACACAAAATATTAATCATTATGAAACCTAAACTACCGTCATTTGATCGTTACATGATTTTGTTGGGTCAGCTCTAATTGATCTCTCAAAAACTGTTGTCTTTTCGTCGTCTGGCAATAGCATGAGTGTAAAGTTATAGTTCGCGTTATGGTTTCGTGAGAGTGTTTTATAAAATTGTAAAAATAAAATTTTGCCTTTGTTGAAAAATATTTCTTCAAAGAATACATTTTAAAATAATTTTATTTCTAAAGAAATCTAGAAATATTGTCGCATTATCATATAAATTAAAAATTTGAATTAAATGATGTATCAGGTGCCAGTTACAGGTATAGAAGTATTTTTCTGCACCACTCTCACTATATCTATGAACACTGGGGAATCACCGACCATTCACGCATGCAGATAGGAATATTAAATAGTTTTTTACGACATTGGCGACTACCTTGTCGAAAGGAATATTTAGCTCGCTGGAAAAAAAATGATTATTTATGGCAAATAAGCAGAGGTCCCAAATACATGTTTTTATTATTGTCAAGGTTAGTGACTAATGAGGGACGAGTATTTATCTCCTCGAGTGTTTAAACACAAAATATTATTTGTCTAGTAGGACATTTTAGATATTCGGCTCTTTGTATTTGGAAGATAATGGTGTTTTCGCCATGCAAACTGATAGCCACGAACGTAATGTTTCATGATAAATGAACAAAGGAGAACATATTTTTTCAATGAGTTTTTTTTTACTTACCGGTATTACTTGCAGGTATTATCACTAGTAATACAATTGATAAATATAATTAAAGAGCAGTTTTCCTGCACGAAAATCACTCTAAGCTTCAGCGATAGGACGTAAAATGCGTATGTTTTTTGGCTTTCAGTTTTGTAATCTCCTTATTGCAAGTATGTGGTACAAATACTTTGAACAGCTGTAAAATGAACTAGTGACGCAAAAGAATGGCGTAGACGTGCTCGAAATAGTTAGTTTCTCTATAGTCTTTCTTACAGTCTTTCTTATCTCCATAGCCTGGAACGGCATTTCGGTTTTACCCTTCATCTCTTCTCGGCGTTTGACAGACATTTTTTCACATTTCTCAATGTTAGGATGTCTACCCTAACAGTAGAATTGAAACAAGACTTTAAGAATATTATAAAAGAGTAAACCATGGTATTAATGCAAATTTTCATTGAAAAATTTGAAGCAGTGTTTGAGAAAAATTCCTTTTTTTGCATTTTTGAAAATGCGCTTTCAAGGCACATACTAGTGCCATCTACGAAACCTTCCTGTATGACAATTTTTAAGACGTGAGAAATATTTAAAGATAGTGTATCATTTTTTTTAAATCAAAAAATACATAGAAAAGTTGTTTATATCATGTTATTCAATGCATTTAGAAGCAAGTGGCCAAAATCGTTTAAAGTAAAAAATTGGAGCTGCTTCTGAGAAATGTTTGTTTTATTTATCGTTTAATTTCTCCCAAAACTGCTGATGAGACGAATAGTCGTTTTCTGTAAGCCAATTTTGCGGTATCAAGGACAAACAAAACATGGTCTTAGACTACACAACGTGTTAGAGGAAATAATTTACTACACATTTGAAAAAAAAAAAAATCGGTATCAAGGACTTCAATGTTCGAGAGGCGTAAAAAAGGGTACGAAGAGAGAAAACGAAGAAGATTGCTCAGGTTTTTGTTACAAAACATTTCAACTGAAAATTTTGCTTGTCCTACCGTTATGAGATACTCGCTTTATATTTCCAGGTAAAAAATGCTTATACATTACAAAAACTAAAGAATAATATACATATGGAATATATTCAACTAATACAAGGTAGGTACTGCATATCACGCCTACCCCTAGGAGCCGCCACAAGGATAAGATAGAAAAGTGAAAAACTGAATATAATTTCGAATTCATTCTAGATTTTCACCCATGCAATTTTTCCGAACCATGGAATTTCCAACTCAAACCTTGCCATTTTTGCAGAACATGAGAATATATCTTCACGTTTCTTTATCCAATATTTGAACAGAAACGTGCGTAGTGGAACGGAATGTTATTTTTGTGTCCAATTTTGATTCAAAAATCGACTTGAAATTGCACCATGTAAACCGGAATATCCTATCCGTATGTCGACCAGAAAAGAAAAACAATTTATTGGGTAGATGATTTTTGATGTACGATATGAATCAACAGTTGAATTAGAGACATGGAAAATAACAGAACACAAAGAAAATCCGCAAACCCACTTTGACCACCACACAGAGGACAGGTCATCAAACTCCTGTACCCAGATGAAAATCAAACGCGCTGGCCTCCACACTCGGTGTGTTGGCAGTCGTGCGAGCGCGCTCACCTCCACTTGGTGCGCCTGTTCTGGAACCAGGTCTTGACCTGCGCGTCCGTCATCTTGAGCGTCTTGGCGAGCGACGCGCGCTCGGCTGACGCCAGGTACTTCTGCTTGTGGAAGCGCTTCTCCAGCTCGGCGATCTGCAGGCGCGTGAAGGAGGTGCGCGGCTTCTTGCGCTTGGGAGGGGTGCGGTTCTGGTACGGATGGCCGATGCGCCGCGTCATCGGGAACGTCGCTGCAACACACACACGCACACACACACACGCTTTAGACATTTGTCAGCTTTGTGGGAGGTTACCAAAAGATCAGGGGCGTTTGAATTTTTTTTAAAATTAAAAAAAATATATTTAAAATAAAATAAAATAAAATAAAAAATTGAAAAAAATAAAAATCAAATAAAATAAAAAATTGAAGAAAAAAATAAAAATAAAACATAAAAAAAATACACATAAAATATGATTAAACAAGGTTAGACATTCCAGGTGATCAAAATATACACCAACGTAGTGTTCTCATTTAAATGAACAATCGTTTTCTAAGAATTTCTGAGAATTGATTCATTTCCTTACCACAGTTCCTCTTGTATAAAGTTCAAAAGGTTGGGTTTACAGTGAGGTTATTTCTAAGTGTTGCAGAAGAAATTAATTTTCCTTCTTTTAGAATACAAACAATAAAATTGTGAAATTATGCAATTTCGGTGCAAAATGGCGACAGCTCTGTATGGCGCGTGGCCCTGTGGGCGCTTATGATTTTACGCAGAACCTTAGCCCGCCAACCTGCTGACAGAATTGGTGTTCACAAATGATGCTATGCACTGAACGCCGCCAAAAATGACCTCATGAGTCTTCAACTGCGTTTTGAGTCTTGAGAATACGCACAAAGTTACGGTGATATACATGGCTTCGATAACACTGAAAAATTACATAAAACACTTGTACAGTAATATATGTTTCTAAAGTCAAAGAGGTTAATGAATTATGTTTTTGCAACTATTAGGAGAAGCAAGCTAGTGTGTTTTTTCCACCTGAAATGTCTCATCCTTTATTTTTTACCATATATTTGAATCTAGTTATAATTGACGTATAATTAAAATGTGAACATTTGTAAGAGATGCTGATGTTCCCGTCCATCTCTGCATAGCATCCCGTTGGGTGTTAACGACTTAGGTATCGTCGAGAAACGTATAAAATCGTTTGGCGTTTCTAACCACAGCTAGAATCAATGGCCTATCTCCCCTGTGAGAAATCGAAGATACACATCAACCTTTGTGTTTTTCTTTTTAATTATTGTTTCTCACTCTAGGGCCAGACCGCTCGAATAGCTTTATTCCACTTGCCGCCACCGCTGATTAAAACCGCCAATCGTGTTACACCTACGAGAAGACGACACCGCTGCGGCGCGGGTCAGTCTGTTTTGTAAAATAAAATCAGCTCTTTAAAAAAGATCAAAAACAACTTTTTGAAGATACGCGTAGTTTTCTCGTAATTTGTGCTTGAAATTAATGCAATGTATAAAAAACATTTTTCTCAAAAAACATTTTAAAATTTTTCCACTGAGAATTAAAGGGACGCTTAAAAGAATGATGTGGATCTCACTTTCAATGAACTCTGAATTTTGAAAAACAGCAAATTTAGAAATAATTGGGTAAAGAATGTGCTTGTTGTAACCCCACTAGCTTCATATTAATGATTGTTCCTCATCCTAGCACCAAACCGTTCTCCTTACATCTTTATTACTTCTGCTGCTACAGTAGGGGAAAAACACCCATCGCGTTACACATATGGGTAAGGCGAAGTCACTACGGGGCGTCGCAGCGCGCATGACCGGGGTAGTAGCTGCGCGACGGTGATGCCAGCCACCGCAGCGATTATCAACAAGATTGCCGAATGGAACGAGGTTTTACTCTTCTATAATATTCTTATAGTCACGTTTCAGTTTTGCCGTTAGGAGACCAAAAACTGGGAAAATGAAAAATAAATAAAAAAATTAAAAAAAACATGGATGCCTATAGTTGGTAGTGGGGAAGAGGGTAGGGGAAGTCAAATAGGGTTGCTCAGGCCAAAGTTCGAAAACTAGTTCGAGAAAGTATGTGCCATTTGCAGCACTACTAGTTCTTATTAGTGATGTGTATCTCACCCTACCGCCTAACTGCTCCCTTAATCTTTATTCCACTTGCCGCCACCGGCGGTGAAACCCGCCAATCGCCAAATTACACCTGCGAGTAAGGCGACGCCCTTGTGGCGCGAGGCCGGCAGGCAGCTGTCCGTTGCGTCGCGGCGCTGCGCCAGCCACACCGCAGCCAGAGCGTCCGTTTCCGGACGGGCGAGCGCGCTCTCGCCTCGCTTTGCGGTCGGCGCTCGTCACCTGAGAAGCGAGCCCGCGCGCCCTCCGATGCTCGCTTGGGCGTGAACCCCCCCTCGCCCCCCCNGAGGACGCTCGCCCGCCGGGTTTTTGCGCGGGTTGTTGTTGTTTGCTTTTCAACGGACGTGCCTCGGTCGTCTGGCGCAATCGCGGCTTCTTCGGAATTCGCCGCCGTGCCGGAGTTTTTGAGAAAACTGTCGGTAGAAAGACGGAAATTTAAAATGGGAAGCGGAAGCGGATCCAAGAGGATGGCTACGTGCCCCTTTGGACCTATGTGTTTCAATTCACATACAGTAGAGACGCGGTAATCCGTACCTCGCGAATCTGAGATGAAAGTGATGTGCACCAAGTCACCAAAGAATCGGCGATAATCAAGATATCTCTGGATGGGTTGACAACATGCGTCGAAGGACACGGTGTCATTGCCAGTGTCAGTCTGTCTGACAAATTGTTGTGACCTGTTGGCCCTCATGTAAGTGTATGTATGTATTTAACTGCAACTTTAATAGCATCTGCATATTAATTTTGACTTCGTTTTATATCGTAGTTGAAAATTCTGTTAGTTATTTTCCTTTTTTCGTAGAAACAAAGTTTTTGGTAATCGGAGCTACCATCAGCCTCAATTACCTCGGATTATCGCGACTTTACTATACTCCCTTTGCTTCTATATTACTTGAATTACATATTATTTAATGGAGCATAATGTGTTTTGTAATATACAGTTAATTGTACAGTTAATCTAGATATTTAAATTGCATCGTAGCATTGTACGTTATCATACAAAGAAAAATGGCGCTCAAACACTTGCTTACGAATGTGACGAAAAACGTATCAGGTACACATTTTCTGTTAATTCTTAATCTCATTTTTTTCTTTTAAACGTTATAAATGAGAAATCCTAAAGAACACTCTTTTGGCTATGTGGTATTTCTTAGATAATCACGCCATTCGGAAATCGGTTCGATATATAACATTTCTAATTAGCAGTCCGTAGACGGAGGCAGTAAGATTTCATGCGTAGATGTCTCGAAAATTTATGGCTGCATTTATGTTCTGTCCTGTTCATCAATTTAAACCTGCCATTAACTTTCAGTGAACCTCGACAAGATAAGCCAGTAATGAGTTTCCCCGACCAGCCACCTACACGCATTGACACTCATAATGAGAAAGTGACAAACATGGCAGAACAGGTACAGCACACGCCGGAAACGAAGGGCGGAACAAGATGGCAGCTCCGACTAACAAATGAGGGTGACTTGGGGAGGGGGGGACGCGGCGGCGATCACGTGACCGCACGTTCACGTGAACGTGGCGCCGGGCAGGCGGCCGGGGCACGTTCTCCGCGCCACCGTGCATTAGTCACGGTACACAATCAGGTGTCGCGGGACAACAAAACGAGGCGCGGGACAACAAAACGCGGCTATCGGGGCGGGGCGGGGGCGATAATGCCAGGTTTGCAAGTGCGCCTACGCTCACACGCGCCTACGACCGCCGCCGACGCGAGGGGCAGAGCTTGTGGCGGCAAGAAGCGAATGGGATCTGTTTTTGGGGGCGGCGGTGCCGGGCGGGCAGCATGTTAATTAATTTAGGCCGCGTTAGCCTCTAATTGCGGCCGCCGGCGCGCCTAATGGCGACAATAAGAGCATGATCGGCCGCCGCCGGTCGGGCGCGGGCGATGGAGGCGGCGGAGGCTTATCGCCGTCATCGGCGCGTCGCCATTGGCTCGTCCGCCCCTCGTCGCCCCCGACGGAAGGAGTCATCCCGGTTTGCCCGGCAACGCGTCGCCCCGCACGTCGCCGCGAGCGCCTGCCTAATGAGCCCGCGGGCCGAGGGGCGGCGCGTCACCCTCGCCGCCTCGCCGCCGCCGCCGCCGCGGGCTCGCTGCTGAACGCGGCCTCTGTGGGGGCGCGCGGACCACGGTGGGCACCTAGGTATTTTGGGTACCCGTTGTTTTCACAGCGGTCCCTATATTGTATAATGGGTGCTTTACATCGATGGTGAAGGCGATTCGTTGTAAGCATTTCAGAATTACGCATCATGAGGCGGGTACCTGGGTATTGCGGTACTCGTGTTTCAACAGCGGCTTCTGTTTGTAATGGGTGCTTCGCATTGATGGCGAAGGCGATTCGTTGACAGGGATTGTGAGAATTACGCATCACCAGGCAGGGGTGTGACACGGCGGGCACGTGGGTATTAGGATATCCGTGTTTTAACTGCTGCCGCTATATTGGGTACTTCGCAATGATGGTGCAGGTGATTCGGTGTAGGGATTGTCAGAATTACGCGTCATCAGGCGGTGACACGGCGGGTACTTGGGTACATGTGTTTTAACAGCGGCCTCTGTTTGTAATGGGTGCTTCTCTTTGATAGCCAGGATGTTACGTTGCAAACGATTGTGAGAATTACGCATGTCCATGCGTATTTGGTAAACTGGAGAGGGGCTTTTTAGTCATTTTTACAACGGTTTATAATTGTTTTGGGTACTTCCACTTTATTCCCAAGTCTATACTCGCTCATTATGTAGATAATAGAAATAAATTACGTGGCCATGAGTATTTGGCAATTGTGAACTTGCATGTTAGCGGTGGCCACTTATTTTATGGATGGCTTCTTCTTGACTGTAGTTCTTACTCAAGATATTCCACGATTGTAGGAATTGAAGTTGGCCATGCTATTATGTAATACGTGTCTGAATGTCGCCATTTATTTTATTACATCCTCTTTTGCGAGAACACGGGGATGAAAGCTGATCACGTGGATATGAGAACAAGATATCTTAGAGAATTGTACACATTATGTTCAAACATTTACATGTGTCTAACTTGTTTTCAAATTGCAATAACTTTATATTAATTTGTATTGTTCATTTTTTTA